ATTATATAATATATTGTAAAAACAATGATAACAGATAATTAGTTACTACATCTATCTTTCATTCTTTCACTTTTTAAGTTATTTCTTATTTGGTATATCAAAGGTAGAGTCCGGATTTATGTGTTTTTACATATCGTCACTGATTATATGTAGTCTTATGAAATAAATAAATGTACCTATATAATGTAGTAGATAGTAAATATTAATATAGCCGACACAATCCTACGCGGATAATAGTCCGTAAGTTTGGTCTGCGTAGACAAATAATTCCTTACTAGAATCCAAAAGTGGGAATAAGTTTGTGCAGTCAGAAAAAATCATTAAAAAACCCTATGACATGCTTAGTATATAACATGTAATTTTAGGAAGCTGAAAATGATATTGCATCAGTTTTGGAAAAATTGGATTCATTGATAGCAGATATTTTAAGTAATTCGCCATTTAGAGAATTGAATTCTGATAACATAGATGTTAAAATTTGGAATAAAGTTCTCGATGACTTTACGGATCAAGATGGAAATCGGCCAACTTGGGTGTTTACAAACTGGTTGTATTGTGAATGTTATATACATCGTCGTATATTTGAAGCGTTTGAAACTAGGTTAGTATTCGTCCTATTAGTAGTTTCATTCAATTCTTGTAGATATGTTTTCACTAAAATTATATTTTTACGTAATCATGAACTTATTTTATATATTTTAGTACATTCTTAAAAAACTATGATCCATTTTATGAACAAAAAATGAAGGCTTTATCGCATTGTGAAGAAGCTATGGATATTTTAGGAAAATTTCTAATCAAATATTTCAATAAAAATGATGTTCAGTTGAAAAATCTTCGTGAAGACTTGCCGAAAATCATCAAGTGTGCCTTGTGGGGAAATCGTTGTGATCTTTCACAAACTGGTGGTGATGCTATTGCACAAAATGAGAGCCCGTTAGATTTAGTTGAATCATTACAACCTCTTATGCTTGCTGACGAATCATCTAAAATAGTTGATTTTTTATTTACTTCACTCAACAATTCCAATGACAATAAAATTTTAGGTACATAATTTTATCATATTTTTATAAACTAACGGTTTGTATTAATACGATTCCTATAGATTTTTACGTAAATATATATCATCAAAATATGTTCCGCTTAAACGTATATTTTACGTGTGTGTTGACCAAATATTTTACTTGTTTTATGCAAATGATTTTCAGATATTATATTGGACAATGCAGGCTATGAACTTTTCACGGACTTATGTTTAGCTGATTATTTGATGACATATAAATTCGTAAACACTGTACGGTTCCATGGAAAAGCTATACCATGGTTTGTGTCTGATGTAACTAGTAAGGATTTCATTGCTACCATATATTTTGTAGCTAATACTTCCAGAAGTGAAACATTAAAGGAATTAGGCAAGCGATGGGAAGGCTATTTTAAATCTGGTATGTAAATATAATATAAAATAAATTTAATTATATAATATTAAATTAAATTCCATATTAAAACTATATAATATTTCGATAATTTCAAATAATAAAATCAAAAAATGACCAATTTTTAGTTAAAGAGATTAACACGTTAAGAATTTATTAAAAAATAAAAGTAGAATAACAAATATGCTGTTTTTATATTTCTATAGGTACCTTTAAATGCAGATTACATACTTTTAATTATTAAAATATAAAAATAAATTTTTATGATATGAAAACTAGKAATTTTTCTGATTTGAATATAGTGTAATGAACTATGGCTATTTAAATGTATAATATATTAAATTATAAAATATTAATGTATTAGTAATTTAATAAATTCATAATGGTAAAAAAATGTCTATGTTATTATACTTACAGGTCAATGGATATTTGAAAGTGAACAATTTTGGACATTGCCATTCAATTTTGATCAAATGAAATCATTAGATAATGAATTATATTCCAAACTTTCGAAGTCATTTTTAATCATATCCAAAGGAGATCTAAACTACAGGAAACTAGTCGGAGATATATATTGGGAGCCTACAGTACTTTTTACTCAAGCAGT